TGTTGTTTCCTTCTGTGGGTTGTGTACCTTATTACATTGCCAGTGAGGCTACCTGGGAATCCCAATAGGTCCTATTGAGGGGAACTCAATCCCAAACAGTCCTTTATGCTCTGGTACCTCCTTTAGCAAGATTTGCTGTATCTGTCAGCTAATTCCTGGCAGGCACTGATAAACTACATTTATTGTATATAAACATATCTCTTGCCCTATGTTGTGATGAGTCCTTTGGACCTCGATGACATTTACTCTCTGTGATCCCATGCTAAGGTTTGTTGGATCAGACAAACGTGTAATCTATATAGAAAATGTCTCTGGTCCCAGCTATTGCATCACTGCTCAAAAATTCCTGCAAATTCATAGAAATGGAGCAGGTCAGCAAACAGTAGGTAAACATCCAAATGAAGATACAGATACCAGTCTCTTAAAGATAGTCCAACTTTTTACAAGTATGAAGGAATAGGTATAAATTTCCTAAGCTGAACAAAAAGTACTAGCTTTTAATTAAATTGATAATTTAAGATTAAGAATTCCTTTCATCAAAGACAACACTAAGAGAAGAAGAGTAGAAAATATTTGTAATACATATTAGAGCAAAGGAATAATTGCCAGGATATATAAAAAGCTATTACAAGTCACTAAGAAAACAGACAATCTTAAGTGTTAACACACTGCTTTGGGGAGTGCTTATTGGTATAACCAATTTATATCAGTTTTGGAAAACTGATAATAACTGCTAAATCTGGAAGTTCACGTATCTTATGATCTATTAACTTCTAGGGCATGAGCAATCTATGGGCAATGTATACACGCATCCACCATAATTAGTAATAGCCCCAAACTGGTACTACTCAATGCTATCCAATAGTAGAATGGATACATTGTGGAATATTTACACAGTAAAATGAATACAAGAGCATGGATGCCTATCTAAATATAATGTATAGATAAGGAAGTCAGACTCTCTCATTACTATGAAGCAATTCATGCATATGAAGTCCCCCAAACAAGCAAAGCTAATCTGTGTTATTAGTGGGTTTAGTGGTATATTTGAGGGATGGGAGAGTAGTGGTCAGAATAGAGGCTTGAGAAGTAGTTCTGGTTACACAGTTTTATTAACTACTTAAAATTCTTAAGAGTCATGTCCTTAAGATTTGTGTCTCGTGTATTACATAGTTCAATAAAAAGTTAAATTTTGAAAAACCTAATGAGAATTTCTTTTAATGCCCCTCATCTACCCTGTGTATTTGGGAAAGATACTGACCCTTTATAAATGCTGCTCTCCCCCAAAAGTATCAAATCTACATATTTCAATCTCCATCTTCTTCCTCTCAATGATACAGGTTATCAAACAGTTCAATCTCTTGATCCCAGGTGAATGTAGTAACTTGACCTACCCGACTGTAAAAACCAATCCCAATCTTGTTCACTAACCTCTGAGGAAAGGGGTGGGAGGGTGAAGAAAAACACATGCATGTTAATTTATCTACATATACACACAAAAATGTATATAATTTTCTCCCACCTGACTGGGTGAATTGCTGAAGATTACTAGAGTTGGGAAGAGCTGAATACAAGCTAGATAAGGGAATACAGTCATTGATTTTTTTTTTTTTTTGGATGGAAGTGGTGAGTGAAACTTTAATGGTAGTGGGATACTATACAGTTCACATTTAAAAAAAAATTTATTCATACAGAACTGGGGTACAGGCCAGAGATGTGGAGGGTGATAGGATTCACCAGAGACAGAGGGGGGAGCAGAACAGGCAGATCCACAAAGTACACTGCTGAGGGGAGCAGCCAGCGGGTTAGGAGAGGTCTGCTGCGCCATGTGGTCGCCTGCTGGTCACCTCCTGGGCAGGCGGGGATCGAACTCATGCGGAAGTGGCTTTACCTTCTCAGTGCTGTGCTTTAACCCGCTGTGCCACCATGGAGGGCCCAGTTCACATTTTAACTGTGAGGGGGGGAACCAAATTTCACAGAACAATGTATACATATTGTAACCTATAACAAAGAAAAAAAAAAAAACAAAACCAACCACAATGTCTTCTCTCCCCACTAGAGCATATATACAGATTTAGAGTCAGGAATTGAGATGCTCTTCTATTTCCTGTTCTTCCACATCCTTGCTGACTGATTTTCGGAGAGTCACTCAACTTATCTGAAAAATGGAGATGAGGATTAACAACTTTGTCAGAAACCTTATCAACTGCTTGTTTCATTGTTCTTACAGAGGAGAGGTCTACCTATATATGCAAAATGTGCTTGTGCACACACATATTGTTTGACTGTAGAGTAGGGAGCAATAAACTTGGGTGTGGCCAGATAGGCCCCCATGATCCATGTGTAAACTATTTTCTTTATAAGATGGTTAGATGGGTTAACTCCCTCTTACCCAGTCTAACAGGCAAAAAGGACATTGTATCAACATGTCAATTTTTTTTTTTTAAAGATTTATTTATTTATTTGTGCATACAGAACTGGGGTACAGGCCAGAGGCTCAGGGGCGGTGAGAGGCTTCACCAGAGACAGAGTGGGGAGCAGAACAGGCAGATCTACGAAGTACACTGCTGAGGGGAGCAGCGGGCAGGTCAGGAGAGGTCTGGCTCGCCATGTGGTCTCCTCCGGGGCAGGCTGCAGGCGGGAATCGAACTCATGCGGAAGTGGCTTCAGATTCTCAGTACTGTGCTTTAACCCGCTGGGCCCCCAGGGAGGGCCCAATTTTTTTTTTTAAGATTTATTTATTTGTGCATACAGGCCAGACGCTCAGGGGCGGCGAGAGGCTTCACCAGAGACAGAGTGGGGAACAGAACAGGCAGATCAATGAAGTACACTGCTGAGGGGAGCAGCGGGCGGGTCAGGAGGGGTCTGCCACGCCATGTGGTCACCTCGGGGCAGGCGGGAATCAAACTCATGCGGAAGTGGTTTTAGCTTCTCAGTGCTGTGCTTTAACCCGCTGAGCCACCATGGAGGGCCAACATGTCAATTTTTAAAGTTGAATCTGTTGTTTTAGAAAGCAGCAAGAGTCATTCTATTTTGTAACTATGTAAGTCACTTTTCCAGATTAAGAGCCAAATTAGTTTCATGATCAGAATTATATTTCCCCAAAGGAATAGACAGCATGAAACCAAGGGATAGACAATTTAATGATAAAAGCAAATTTCTGATATTTTATCTTCTTCAGAGTTAATGGAGAAACTCATAGGAGCTGTGGTGTATTGTACTAAGACAGTGACACTTCACTCCTTTCCTACTTCTATTTCCATCTATCTGACTTAATAATTCCCTATCTTTAGGTATCTATATCACAGACTTGTGAAACTCATTTTAACATGTTGATCACACATAAAATGACATGAAAGGATCTCAGCCTACCTTTTGGAAGAAAAAGACCACATTGCCATTTGAGTCTTGAAAAACCTGATATTTCCTTCCAAAGGATAAAACCCACTGACTTAGCAAGCAAAGTGATGGTTAAGAGCAGATTTTCATTTATTCATTAGCAAATTGCAAAGGTGTTATAAGATAATGTATATAAAAGTTGTGGCAACTAGCAGATGACCCATATCAGCAATACAAATATCAGTATTTCTCATGAGCTATGTATTTATTTTGAAATTTTGTCTCCTTCAGCAGAATATTATGATTATGGATCTTAACCTGTTTAGTACATATCTGTAGATGCTGAATGCTAAATATGGAGCATTAAAATACTACTTCTTTCACTAGATCCTGCTTAGTGAAATAAGCCAGAAAAAAAAACAAAAACAAAAACAAAAAAAAACAAAAACACCGGATGATTTCACTTATATCACTTATAGCAGGAGAGTAAGGGACCGGAAAAGAAAAAAGAAAAAAAAAGCGATTGGAATGAAAAACATGAACAACTATAAACCAGAGACATTTTACGGGGCTGGAGAGGGGAATAGGATCAAAACTGGGGTGGAAAACTGGGGTGGGGTGGGAAGAGTGCACAGGACTGTGGTAATGGCACAGAGCTGAAGTCGAGGTGGGAAGTCCATGAGGATTACAGCGGAGATGAAAAAATGCACAAAATGAGGAATGATGTAAAAAACAAAAAAACAGCTCTTGGTAAGGATAGGACTTCTTGAAGAATTCAAGGCCAAAAGAACCTCTCGTGTGGAGTTCTAAAGCTAAGATCACCTTAATTTTCAGCACATGGGGAAAGTTGAAGACTGTTCAGCAGGACAGTATATGATGATAATAATGTATTCTACCGAAAAACCATGGAGACCGTTTATTGTGTGACACAGCATTGTGAGGATTAAATAAGATAAACAAAGTGTGATCCACCTTATTTTTCAAAAGGGAAAGGAGGGCAGGGAAAAAAAAACCCTAACGGTGAAAATGTACTACACATGTCATGTTCTACACATTACACAGCTGTGTTATTTATTTCACCAAACCTGCAAAAAAAAATGTAAAAATGTTTATCACAAAAGATGGACTCTTGTTCAATGTCTGCACATCTGTGAGTACCCAGACAGGGCTTGTTTTATTCTATTACAAAGATTGGAAGCTCGCAGTGCAAGGCACTCATTCCGAAGTATCTGCATTCATGATAACGGCTACACAATGGTGTTAACGAGGAGAAAGATGTTATCGTGATAACTTTTGGAAAGTACAGAGGACAGGTCTGATCGAGTCCCTCCAGGAAAGCTCCGGGAAGACTCAGAATGCCACCATCCTTCCTCCCCCCATTTTCCCCACTTCCAACACCAAGGCGTAGATTTCGAGCCCAGAAAAAAAAATATGGAGGTAGGCAGAGGCCCCCAAAGATTGTCACGTCTCCCCGGGTTTTCCAGGCTATTAAAACATAACTTATGCGATGATTCCCAAGCAAGGTGCAAGCGAAGCTGACGCAGTTAGCAAATTTCCCCGCGGCCACGCCCACTTAGCAGGCCTGGCACCACCCACGCGGTCGCTCTTTGCGTGCTCCGCGCTTGCGTCACTTCCGCTCTCTCCGCGGCGGTTGTAGCTAAACGACGTGACAGCTTCCGGCTCTCTGAGGCCGCCTGGGGCGGCGCACAAGTCGATTTTCGCAGGTGTTCGGTCTATGGAGTCAGTTGATGCCGGCGGCTGCGCTGAGGCAGGAGGTGGTATCCGAGTGGGTGCCTCTGCCCCGCCAGGATGTTACCGGGCTTGGCCGCCGCCGTTGCGGCCCACAGATGTAGCTGGTCCTCTCTGTGCCGGCTGCGTCTGCGCTGCAGGGCGGCGGCCCGCGGCTCCAGCCACCGCCACGGTGAGTGCCCTGCGCCTGCTGCTGCCTCCGCGGAAGCCGGACTGGAGGACCAGGCCGGGCTTCGCGCGAGCGGCGCCTCTCCTCGGGCACCGCGCCCGCTGGTCCTTTCCCAACCTGCCAGGTGTTTTCCGGGCCTCTGCCTTTGCACGGAGCTGTCCTGCCGGTGCGGGCTTCTGACTGGTCGCTTTGAGGGTCTCATCTGTGGACCCCTCGGAAAGTGGCGGCAACTCTGGGCCGAGGCGCACCCACGAAACCGACCTCTTGTACTGAAAATGTTGGGCGTGCTTTGCGATGTCTGGTGTTGACCCTCTTAGGCTGGGGGATATAACTGGCGCCCCTGAATTCCTGGGTCTTGAAGCTGCTTAGTCGTTCATCGTTGAACACTCCCGACCAGGTAGATTTTATTGTTCTGCCCCTTTCTTCATACTCCCAATTTGTTTACGTGCATTTCCTAAGGGGAATGAGAGCTTGCTATATTTACAAATCATTCTTAGGGTTGCGGGTATGACCTTCCCACAGTCATTGAATGAACCCTGCTTTGGACAGAACGACGAAAAAACTCTTTAGCTCTGTTGAGCAATCTTTGGTGGAAAAGTGGGGCTGTCACCCAAAAAAAAGGTGGTTGTCGGGAATTTTTCACCCTCTGTCAACATTTTTTCTTGGTTTAAATTTGTCCAGCAGTTCCAGCATAACATTGAACTTGTGAGTTTCAATCTGACTTACCTCTTTTCTTTGGCCATTGCTTGGCTGCTATAGCTTGAGAACTGGTAGGAAAGAGGGGAAAGGGGAAACAGTCATAGCCACTCTTAAATCCTCCAGATTCTTGGGCATGCATACAGTATTTAGAGAACCATTTCCTAAATATTCAAAGCACTTGCAGCATGTTTATGGCTTCGCAATCCAATTTGGAAGTTACAGTCATTCAACTTTATAAGTGTTTTAAGTTATATTGGAATATTTTCCAATATCAGATATTTTCTTGTATTTGTAATAATTGTAAAAACTGGCTCTTAAAATTTCAGATGGATTAATGTTAACAGCACTATTGTCAGAGGTTTTGATAGTGATAGAAACTATTTAGAATTTTCCTGTATTATAGTAGGCCTGGTTCCCATCTGAACAAAATGAATCATCTTGGTTATACTATACTCCAGAATTTCCAAGTAAACCTAGCAGAATTGTTTCTAGTGACCAAGCTATTTCAGTATTTTACATTTAAATTAGGTGCGGTGGATGAATTTTGTCTATTTTACTCTTTATTTGTTGATAAAAAGAAGTTGAAATACAGTAATTTATAACCCTCTGTCGCTTGTCATTACTTCAAAAATTATGTGCTCTTTGTCTCATCCATCTGTGAACCACAGATAATAATTACCTATTTCGTCAGTCAGAATGACTTTGCAAGGTTTTTTGGAATGTTTACTACCACGAAAAAATAAAATTATGTTTACATTTTAAAATATTAAGTAGGTTTAAAAATAATCTTGTTTGTGAAAATTTAGCTGCAGTAATACTGAAACCATGTTTAAAAGGTTAATCAAAATTATGGTAAATTTTTAAATCATTTGGTCACTAAGTTGGATACCTGCATGAAGAAATGAATATTTGAAGGCGTTTTGGGGGAAAAGTCCAAAACTTTTGGTTAAGAGATAGTATATTTTTCTAAAATTGTGTGGCAGTGAGAAACTTAAAAAGACTGAGAGGAGGAAACTTTGAGGGAAAAATTAAACACTATAAATTCTTGAAGAAAACAGTATGCTAAAGCACCACTATTCAAAATATAATGTGAACCACATATATCATTTTGAGTTGTTTGATAATCATATTTTAAGAAGTAAAAACAGATGAAATTAATTTTAATGTTTAATGCAAATATTGAAAATATTTTGATATGTAATCATTGTAACATTTAGTGATGTATTTTCATTATTTTATTTTATACTAAATCTTCAGAGCCTAGTGGATGTTTTACACTTCTGGCACATCTCAGGTTGGACTACTCACATTTTAACAAACAGTGACTATGTGTGCTGAACAATGCAAATATAAAATTAGTGTCACTAATTTACAAAGAATTTTTATAAAGCAGAGTACATGCCAATAAAAAAAAATGGGCAAATGAAATAAACAAGGCGTTCACTTGGCCATTAAAAATGCAAAACTGTTTTATACTCACTAATAAGAATTTAAATATAAGTTTACAGGTATACTACTTTTGACAGTTTCATATTGGCTAAATTTTTCATAGCAGTACCTCTTCTCAAGGGTGCAGGAAAGCAGGAGCTCATAATACAGATTGAGACATAGCTGAACAGTTGTTTAGAGGTTAGTTATTTTTTGTATACAAAGAACTTTAAAGATTAATTCCTTTTGACTCAGCAGTTCTACTTCAAGTTTACTTTAAAGAAATATAGATACATTAAAATGTGTGCACAAATTTGTTCTAACAGTGAGGTTTTCTAGAAAATTTTATTTTTTTTACATACTCAGCATTAAGTACATTTGTTTTTATAGTATATGTACCTTTTTTTTTAAGCTCCTTTGGTTTTGCAGATATCTTTTTTTTTCTTTCAAGTATTTGTATGCATTTAATAAATTTTGAATTGCAAATATGCTTCTACATACCAAAATTGCAGATAAATGCTTTTGCTTAAGCTCCACATTAATAGTTTTTAAATAAAAAGAATTTACACTTTTCTGTTTTATTCTAGTGTTAATATTTATTACCGTAAGAATAGTAATGTACACATTTTACTGTTGGTCATAGTCCACTCCCATCTGTTTAAAAAATGGCAGTTACTAAAGACCATTTTTTAAAGGCTGATATATGATTCTTTGTGATTCAAGTTAATGATAGAATTTTTTTCCTCAGTTTTTTTTTTTAAATAATATGTTTATTTTTATATCATTTTGTGCATTTTCCCATCTCAGTTGTAATCCTCTTGGGCTTGCCATCACCAAATCACCCATGTGCCATCACCATAGTCCAGTGCATTTCCCTTCCCCCACTATTTTTTGATCCCATTCCCCACTCCACCCCATAAAATGTTTCTGGCAGATAGCTGTTCATTATTATTATTATTATTTTCTTTCCTGGTCTGTTATATTCCTGCCTTGAGAGAAACCATCCGGTATTTTTCCTTTTCTGTCTGGCGTATTTCACTAAGCATGATCTTTTCCAGCTCCATCCATGTTGCTGCAAAAGACATGTGTTTCTTTTTTTTTTTGGTTGCTGAGTAGTATTCCATTGTGTATATGTACCACATCTTTTTAATCCAGTCATCCATTTTTGGGCATTTGGGCTGTTTCCATGTCTTGCCAATCATGAATAAAGCAGCAATAAACATGGGGGTGTAGGTATCCTTTTTCAGTCAGTGTTTTTCTGTCTTTTGGGTAGAAACCTAGGAGTGGGATTGCTTGGTTGTATGGAAGCTCCATGTTTAGCAGCTTGAAGAACCTCCAGTTTTCCATAGTGGTTGTACTAGTTTGCATTCGCACCAGCAGTGCAGGAGAGTTCCTTTTTCTCCACAATTGATAGACTTTTTAACTGTGCAATGAGGCTAACCATAATAGCCCCTCATAAGAGTTTTTATGACAGAATCACTCAGCAAAGAAGTGAGACAGTTTCACTGTTATTGGGCAGACATTAGGATTGAGAAAACTAGTGCTATGAAAGAAATAAGTAGGGTGATGGGTTAGGACACAGGTAGGAGGAGCCATTTCGTTAGATATGCTGCTTTGGGATTGCACTTTTTCCAAAGAGTTGGTGACTAAGCAAGACATGTAAAATGAAAATAAGCAAGGTAGGGTAAAGAGGGATCCTAAAGACCAGACTGATAATGTTCAGAGGCAGAGAGAAAGCTACTTCAAGCTAGCGTAAAGTGGGGTATATGAAATGAAACTTGAAAGATCAGTCTTGTAGGCTCTGAGTTTAAAAAGGCAATGTTTTAAAAATATTCTAATGATTACTGATGGAGAATGGATTGGAAAAGGAAGTGTATATTTAAAGGCTATTATAATTAGGCAAATAAGGTTGTGTGGTTGGGCTGTCATGGTTAGCAGTGGAGATGGAGAGACATAGATGACCTTGAGATATGTTTTGGAGTAGAAAATGTGAAAATATGTAGGTGAAAAATTCTCGCACCTGGTAAATTCTTAGTAGATAGCTGTTTTTAGCTTTTCTAAGCACATATTAAAAAAAATTAAGGGCCTTCCCTGGTGGCACAGTGGGTTAAAGCACAGCACTGAGAAGCTAAAGCCACCTCAGCATGAGTTTGATCCCCTCTAAGGAGGTGATCCACATGGCGCAGCAGACCTCTCCAGACCTGCCTGCTGCTCCCCTCAGCAGTGTATTTCCATCAATCTGCCTTTTCTGTGCCTCAGTCTGTCTCTGGTGAATCATCTCATCACCCCTGCACCTGTATCCTGTACCTTAGCCCTGTATTCATAAGTAAATACATCTTTTTTTTTTTTTTTAAGATAGACAGTAAAGATGTATGCCAAAAGGAAGTGTAGAACTTCCCAGCATTTCCTGTTCAATTATCCCCTTAAGGTTTTCCCATTGCTTACTTTGTTCTGGAGAAAAATCACATTTGCAGAATTTAGCTCTAAGCTGAGCTACCTGATTTAGATTACACTTCAGCATGCTAGATGATTAGGCATAAAAGAGATTTTCCTGCATTTTTAGCTAGCTGAAGGCATAAAAGTAAATAAGAAATAGTATGTTAATATTAGCAAATATTAGTTGTTATTTAATGGTTATATTTTAGTTTTCTTTTTTAATTTTAGGCATATTTTAAGATATAAAATAGAAAATAGAAAAATAAAAGGCATAAAGTAAAAATTAAGGATATTCCAGATAACTTCACTAGTCCAATTTTTAGTTGCTATCATACTGTGTTTTGCTTCTTGCTTTTTTTGGTGCAATATTGTAACATGAATGTTTTTCCATGACATTAAAAGTTTTTCCATGTCATTAAACTTTTTTTTTTTTGTCATTA